TGTTATGATGTTTTTGCTGCTGTCCAATTTTCGAAGCCACAGAATTTTTCAGCACTGAAGCTAATCTTACTGGGATATCTCCCGCTGATAAGACCACAGGCTTTTCACTGCAGTGTTTTCTAAGTGTTGGTTTGTTAGATTGTAAATAATATTTATCCCGCAAACAATTTTCTGATTAAATGCTCGTATTATAAAATGTGCATCAGAAGTTCTCTGAGGTAAAGCTGAGGTATTGTGAGTACTTTATACTGTTATAACAGCTTGGTAATACTCATGGAATAACGGGGTAATAAATAAATATCTGGAAATATCTTAACGTGTGTCATGTGTTTTGCTCTCTCCTCAGGTGGTAAGCTTCCTGGAGGATATCACTACCTGCATGTGACCAAACCATCTCCAACAGACCTGACAGGCCCTAAAGTTAAACAGGTAAGCACTCACTGACCAGGAGTTCAATCTCTGGGTGTTTCATGTCAAACATGTAACCTGGGAATGATTATATTTATTAAGAAATTTAATTCCTGATTAACACAACATGTTCTGATGTTATTTCAACTTAAAACCGAAAAGCAAAATGAAACAAGAAAGCAACAGGTTTCTTCCTGTTAAATGGGGGCGACTATTTTTGTAATGGCGCTATATAAATAAAATTGAATTGAATTGTGGTATTGAATACAACACACTTTTTTCTTTTTTTATTGATTAAAAATTAATGTGGCCGTTAATCGACTTTTGTTTTTCAGATTATTAATCATCTTCTAGTGTTTTTAGTTGATATTATTTTTAATTGATTATTCAAGTATTTTGATTTGCTTTTGAAGATTTGCATTATAACTTGGAACCAGAGATCAGTGCTCGTGTTCCTCCATCCAAAGTTACAGGACAGAGCAATTGTGACGGGACAGCCGGAGAGAGGCGACTACTTCTGCTTGCATCTTGACTGCTATGAGCTTGTGGAGGCGCTCACCTGCTTGTCCCTGAAGCCTCTCCCCGTCTCCAATTACCTGAGTCTCTACATGAAACATCAGCAGCTGCTGGGCCAGCTGCTGAACTGCTACCAGCAGGGCCTGATCCCTGATCTGTACAGGTGGGACAAACACTGACAAATACTGTTTTACTGAACATCTGCCCATATTATTTGTATACACGCTAGCATGAAATATATATTGAATAAGTAAAAGCATAGCAGGTCAGTTTTAATTGAATTTATATAAAAACAAACCCCCAAATCATTTTTCACCAGGATTTGTGCACCTCCCCCAAAAATCTACACTTATGTATACACACACACAC